TTAAACCCCCCCACAGGCCCCCCCCCCCCCCCTTCCTTTGTGTTACACACTGCATGCAATGTAAACAGGGGGGGGGCGATTTGTAAAGAAAGCTTCCTTGGTAACCACAATCTGTAGGTGTCGTTAAGTAATCTGCCTGAGTATCGTCCTCAACCTGTAGGCACTTGGTGAAAAACCATTTAACCCAGTCCGATAAGATGTCTGCGTGCCCGGTACTACTTCCTGCCGCAATACCGCTCATACTCCATTTTGTCGTGGTCCTGCACGGAGCCATTTTGCCTGTGCCTCTACGGTTTGCCTCAGCACAGAGCCTTCGTTTCGCTTTGTTCTTTGCCTCCGCTGGCGCTTCGCTGTTACACAGGAGAGTCATATTCCTGGAGGAAGTCTTTAATGGGCAGAGGTAGCTGTTCTCGTGCTTCGAAGCCTTCCAGTTGTCCGTTGACCGCTTTTCTGCAGAGGTGCTGCAGGGAAGAGACGCTGGAGGACAGAGGCCTGGAAAGGAGCAACGGCACGCGCTCACCACCGGAATAGATATAATAGCAGCGCCTGTTGCTGTTGTTGGAGTCTTTGGCCGGCATGTAATGCCGAAGGAGTTTCAGCACGCAGTCGAACCTTGGCACGGGCTGCGAGCTGCGTGGGTCAGTCTGTAGGGAGAACCCGCATGTTTCACACTGGATGCGCAAGTTCTTGGTGCCGGATTCGGTCTTGACGCTGAGGGTGAAGAAGTGGCGGTTGTCGGAGCTGTCCCTGATCAGGAAGGTGCCCGCCGGTTCGGTGCTGAGGAGCATGTTGGCCTGACTCCCCGTCACCGTGCTCCAGTAAAATCCACTCTCCTGAAGTTTGTGGACCGCGCTCAGCACCAAGTTGTACTCGCTACGGGAAGAGAAGGTCTTGAGCCTCAGGCTTGAGTCCAGCACCCGGCTCATAGTCGGGAACTTGCTCTGCGTGACCATGACGGTGGGAGCCAGCTTGGCTAAAACTCGGCCTGTGCGACCCTCGCGTTTCAAACGATAGCTGGAACCTGCGAACACAAAGCAAACGCTATGTCAGCGCACAATGCAACAGTGTGACGGCGATATGTAAATGATCTATAAGGAAGCGCTGCAAAAGTCAGCGCCGGCCCATCGCGTTTATTATCTACAGAGTGAGAGAACAATGGAACGCTATAGGAAAAAAAAAACACATAAGGCAAGCTGCTGCCAGATATGACTGATGATCGTCAAACCTCTATTTATATCCCCCGGTTTAAGACCGGCTCCACCTATGCGGCTTCTCTAATCCCATAAACCTCGGCAAGACAAGAACTCTGCAGATGGGATTTCCTTTTCAAGCTTTTCGATGGGCTCGTTGTGGCCGACAGAAGAATGCAGTGTTCTGTCTACCCGGGGCACGCCGTGGGCAGCTGTGCCCACGTCTCCTCGTGGCACCAAAGCAAGTCTGAACAACTGGGCACAAAGGATGCTTGAAAAACGAGTGCGGGAACGCCGAAAACAAAAGCCCTGAAAAAGATACTTCTAATAAAGTGGCAGATTTACTCCCTTAAGAATGATACTTTATATCCAATGCCACCAACTTTCACTCAGTGTGCCACAAGCTAGCAGACAGTTTGCACTATCCAAAACTTTGTTCCATCCATCCATCTATCTTTCTATCATCTTTCTTTTTTTTACTTTTCTATCTTTTTTTTGGTTTCCTTTCTTTCTTTTTCTTTCCCTTTCTCTTTCTTTCCATCCATCTATTTCTATCTATCTCTCTACAGTATCTTCTAATTTGTATCTTTTTTTACTTTTCTATCTTTTTTTTGGTTTTCTCTTTCTTTCTTTCTCTTTCCCTTTCTTTCCATCCATCTATTTCTATCTCTCTACTGTATCTTCTAATTTGTATCTTTCCGTCGACTTGCAAGTTAAAGTAAAAGCTGAAAGCTCACTCCCAAAAAGTTTACAATCCGACATCAGGTTTTCGTATGATTCGCATCACCTCACGGTTACATTGCGAATTATAAAATCGCTCATCGCTTCCTCCTAAAAGTTCTACATTTCTTCTCTAGAATCGTCCAGATATTAAACATTTTTTTTTTGTAAAGCTTTTTAATGTCTCTTACCTGATTATGTTTCAAGGTGTCTGTACTTTAAGGAGGAACAACAACAAAAAGCAGCAAATAAAAAAGCCCTTTTGAAGTTTTGAGGCAGAAGTATAATCCGTATGAGAAGACTATAATCCACGGATGTGCTTGCTTCTAGTTACAAATCAGTGTGTAACTCCATGAGATCACACACACAGTTCTTATACAGTAAACTCCTCCTCCCATCCCCCTCCCCAGCACTATT